TCCTGCTTGGGAAAAGGTCCATGCAAAGCCAGAGGGTGATGGTAAAATTGCTATTAGCTTCACCGAGATTAGTTTTAGTACAGCATTCTGTTGTTTTGGTTTCATACTGTTAAGTGTTTCATTGTTTGGTAGCTGTTTCATGACTCTCTGTGGAGGGAAGAAGGTGTCCCAACACCTTCTGCCCCTGATGAGGTGTTTCCCCAACTGAATTTTCGCCATGACAAGAAGAAACACTTTTTGCCCCCCAAAAAAACAGGTACAGAGAAATTCCCCTTTGAATTTTTAGCTACATCTGAATTTTTCCTGTGATTTTGATATTCGTTGGAATAATTAGACTCCTTTTGCCCAGGATATTATTGCTGCAAAGAGATCCAGTAGGATCCTACTCAGATCAAGCTGTGTCTCACCTGTCTGTGCTCAGAAACAAGAGATGATTCAGCATTTACAGCAGTAAAACACAGGGAGATGATGGATCCATCAGAGATAACAGGGATTTCACATCACTAAACACCCAACTGCATGAACAGCCACTAGTCCTGCTGGCAACACATCACCTTGATGAGAAGGTAATGATGGAAAACACACCAGAGGAACACAAAGATCTCAACTGTGGCTCCTAGAGCTGATTTACAGCAAGGAAAAAGAAGGAGTCTAAGGAAGACTTAGTCCAAAACAGGGAAAATGGATGTAATGAGAAATAAAATAGCATTTCTACATTGGGAAAGGTTTGGAGAGTGTCTGGGTAGCTTGGCTAGGAATCTGTTGTGGTAACCTGGGCAAGATCAGCACTGGAAAGGATATGAACATTGTTAAACTAACTTGGTCGCTTCATGTTCTACTTCCCTTCACAGTTCAATCCCATTTCTATCCCTGATTCTATGCAATAATTCTCCACATCTTTATGTAAGAATTTCTCCTTTACCTACACACTAACAGTGGCAAATTAATTGGTTTATAAACTAGCTCAATAAGCGTAATTAATATCTAACTGTACCTGTTTGACACAGACAAGGAATTTAGATGGAGAATGAAGTTTTTCTCTCCTCTAAACACTATTTCAGCTCCCCACACTGCACATTAAATATGCACTAGATTCCTCACATGATTCTTGCATATTTCATTAGCAACTAAATCCAAAATTGGGCTATGCTCCAGGAAAATTAGGTAATAATAGTTAACCAAGGGTTGTAACACAAGGAAACTCTTAAATTTTGTATAAAAACAGCAAAGAGCAAATAAACAAAGTGAATTAATTGAAGCAAAATAGGTATTTAAAAGTAATTAAGCATCTCACCTGTGAGTAATTAGGGAGTGTGACTTACCATGGAAGGGTCAACTGGGTAACTTGAGCACACGAATGTCATTGAGATCCAAAGAACGAGCGCAAAGTTCAACCTGCATAGAGTTCAAAGAGAAACTGAGATTGATTCAAATGGAAACCCAAATCGAGCAAAACTCTTTGAACACAGAGAAACACACCAACAGCACATTTTCTCCCTCTCCCAAGCAACCCACAGTGCCTTTACCTGATCATTTTTCACTCGGGAGTGTGTGTAGACATGCAGTTATACTACCAAATTCCTCACACATCCTGTCACTTCTTTCTTAGATGACCATTTTATACCAGAGTTCAGGAGGGAAAATGTCATCAAAGCTGATTTTCTTATGACTAATTGGCCCTTCTTTGGCCTTTTCTTCTTGTTAAATGGGCAAATGGCAAGAACACATTCAGCTGTCATTACTAAACCACTGAGTGATTTCAACTCAAGTGTCCCATTAAATGTCTCTCCTGTGGCTTCGCTGGTACCTCTGCAGCATCACTGCAAACCCGGGCAAAGGTCTAAGGATTGCAAAACTACATTTCAAGGGTTTGTTACCACTTTCAATAGATCAGGTTAAGACCCTGAAAAGTCTTGAAGGAGGGAAAGACTCTAAAAGTGCTCTTTAAGTAGAAAGTTGTTCAGAGAATCTTATTATACTCAGAGCAGCCACAACACAGAGAACAGTACAGAACTCTCTCTCTCTCAGTATAAATATATATATCCTGGAGCTCAAACCAGTTGGGGCTGCCACTAGTGATGATCCCCAGGGCCCAGAGTTGGGGCAGGTCCTGTTTAACATCTCTATTGATGATCTGTACATGGGGATTGAGTGACCCTCAGGACATTTGCAGAGACACCAAGCTGGGTGTGAGTGTGGATCTGTCTGAGGGTAGGAAAGCTCTGCAGGGAGACATGGACTGACTGGATCAGTGGCTGAGGACAACCGGAGCGAGTCCAGCCAAGGGCAATGAGGGCAGCAAAGGGCTAGAGCATATAGGCAAGGGCTGAGGGAGTTGGGCTTGGTCAGCCTGGAGAAGAGGCTCAGGGGTGACCTCCTGGCTCTCTGCAACTCCCTGCCAGGGCTGGAGAGAAGTGTGGGATGTGTGTCCTGCCAGGGCTGCAGGGAGAGGACTAGAGGGAATGGCCTTGAGCTGAGCCAGGGAAGAGTCAGACTGGATGTTATGAGAAATGTTTTCCCAGTTAAGATGTTCAGGCCCTGGGATATTGCCCAGGGAGGCTGTGGAGTCACCATCCCTAGAAGTGTTGAAGAGGTGTCTGGATCTGGTGCTGGAGGATTTGGTTTAGGGTTTAGAGGTTACAGCAGTGACAGGTTAATAGTTGGACTCAATGGCCTTAGAAGACTTTTCCAACCTGAATGATTCTGTAATTCTATGATTCTAATGAAAACACTAAGGATCTTTTTTGCCAGCCACACAGTGTCAGACATGCACAGCAGTGACTCAGCAGCCTCAAGCATTGCATTTCCTTCCGTGTTTACACTGAAAAAATCAATGTACAAGAGCTCCAGAATGGACCTCTCTGTGTCTTTGGGGAGACCTGAGCTGTTATAAATTAAGGCAACTTGAACTGCAACATTTACAGTTGGACTTGATGATCTTAAAAGTCTTTTCCAGCCTCAACAATTCTATGATCCAGTGACTTTAATTCCAGGAGGTTAAGAGCTGTAAGTTTACCAGGTAATACGGGAAGAAATAGAGAGGGATGTAGGACCCACCTTTTATAGAAGAATAAGCCTCAGATTGTGGCTGATGATTTTTCCTTCCTCACTGTCCATGCTGGTGCTGATCATGTCAGTGGTTGAAATAATCCAATGTCTCTTAAATTACTTTCATAAAGGATGTGCTTGGAGTTGCTGGGAAAGGACTTGAGGATTCTTCAGGACCAACAGGGCTAGAGAAAGAGAAGATGAAATTAGCCTCATTTAAACCCTGCAGTAAGCAATCCCTTTATAACAACTGTCAAGAGAATATTCAATGATTTGCATATTCAGTTTGCATCCTCTTATTCAGAGAGAAAATCCTCTCCTTTGAATTGCACATCCCATTCCCACTCGGACAGGACCTCCTACTCCAAGGATAAGAGGATTAGTCTGTGTTTCTGCTGCAGTGAAAAGCACTTTGGGTTGGATTCTGCTTGAGCACAGTTTAGTGTCAGCTTTCCTTGTATTTGCATTTGGTTTCACTCCATTTTAATACAAAATTAACCTTCACACAGCATTAGTTGTGGAAGAGGAGGGACAAGAACATGCTTGTGATTAGAGTTCAGGACTTCCAGGTTCAGCCTTAGACTCTCCAGGTAAACTTGGGTGCTTTGTGTTTTAAAATCACAAGTTGTTTGAGTCCCATTGTGCCTGGTCAATACCTCCTATGCTCACCTTTATCACATCCCTCTGAAAGAGAGGATTTGGCCACATTTCAGGCTCACAAGCTTTGGATGTGAGATATGCCCAGAGACTCCCCATAGGATGTTCAGCATGTGCAGGTGGTGAGAGGACAACCAAGTGAGGTCACCAAGCAACTCCCAGGGCGCCCCAAGACAGGATGAAGCTTTGTAGAGTCTGGAGCAAAGCAGCAGGTTACAGAAACTTCAAACAACATGTGGAGACAGCTCTTGTGTGGCTTTCTAAGGAAGGAAAAAAATATGATCAAATACACTTGTTAAGGATGTTTCACACAGCAGGTGGGAACTCATCCAGCAGCAAATCTCCCAAGCACTTTACAAAGCCAATTGCATCTGAGCTGAACACTAGGAAGAAAATAATGGTCAACCTGAGGGTATGAATGCATTTCATCCATGTTGTATTATAATTGTTCACAGTGAGATATTCCTTGGCAAAGCTCTTTAGCCAGTTTTCTGGTTTCAGTTTTACCTAACAGTCGCCTAGGACATGTGGTCCTTAGCACCTGGATCTTAGAGG